CCTTCCCCAGATCTGTGCCTCGATACAATCCTGTCTCGGAGGTCTACAGACAATTGCTAGGACTTCATGGCTTGGTTTGTGCTCTGACATGCACTGTTAACTGTGGGACCTTCTTGTCCAATCAACTGAATTTACCACAGGTGGACTGCAGTCAAGTTGTAGAAACATCTCAAGGATGATCAGTGGAAACAGGATGCACCTGAGCTCAATTTTGAGTGTCATGACAAAGGCTATGAATACTTATGTACATGTGATTTTTTTCATTTTTAATTTTTAATAAATTTGCAAAGATTTCAAACAAACTTCTTTCATGTTGTCATTATGGGGTATTGTTTGTAGAATTTTGAGGAAAATAATGAATTAAATTTTTGAGACTAAAGTCTCAAATCCAAAAAGATATTCTTTATAAAAGTTAAGAGTCAACCACGCCTACCTAAAACGCTTACTACAATGCCGGCTGTTCTGACTCACAGACTGTAAGTACGTTTTTCATAAAAAATTTGCCACATACGATTCAAACGCGAGGTTTGAGCAGAGTAGAGTAGGGCTTGCTGTTGACAGTACTATAAATCATTATAATCTGTAATTATGTTCCCACTGGATGCAACAAATGCCTCGTTTATAATGGGTTTTAATGTTTTTGTCTCGTCGCTCCGGCCAAATGGCGGAACCTTAAACTGCATAAACACATTTCATTACACCAAATACACAAAATAATGTTCTTTTTAGCAGCATCATATCACCCCTTTAATGACAGAATTTAAATTTTTGGGTAAACTATCTCTTTAAATTCAATTCTGAGAGGCACGCAAATAGAAAATGAAGAATTTTACTTGTAGAGCTTGGATATTTGAATGTGTGTGGGCAAAATCTTAAAACTGATTCTAATAGATATAGTCTAGCTTTAACTGGCTCCTAAAAATGAAACAGCACTCCGTGTCTCCTTAAACGGCTAAAGGTTGAAACACTACATTTCCCATCATGCACGAGACACATTAGGATGTTGATGTTTTAGCTGGAATACAGAGAGGAGGGAGCTCAGAGCTGCACACAGAGCGTGAATCACCGAGCACACGCACTCATACAGCCCGAGCTCAGATACCAGTCCACGCAGCCAGTGATGTCGACGCTCTAGTCTCCACTCCCATTGGTGGACGGACGCCTGTCAAACACAGGCTGCACGTCTCGTTCTCAACAGTTGGACAACACAGCCTTGGCGAACAGGGCTCCCGCCGTGTCAGAAGGGGAAGTGCGGCAAGAAGTGCACAGAGGAACCTAAGCTGCTCTTTAGTGTGTCCTCTCCGCACATTTCCTCTCCTTGGGATAAGGGACGGTCGTCGGGACTCGCTGCAGACAGCATGCAACACAGATCCTCAGAGAATACTGGCTTTAACTGTCAGGTAGGATGGGGCGTCCCGAGAGTCTGGCATCTCTGGCGTGTCCTTGAGAGATTTTGTGTGCATCTGTTGAGACGTGGTTGATTCAGCATTGAATTCTTGTAATATAATGGCTAAAGATGCCTTTTTCATTCTGGTTGTTATCTTCTCCTACACTCTTTCTCTCAACCTTCCTGCTTGCGTGTTCTTGGAGCTATTTTAGAACCTCCTTCCCACGGTTTCTCCGTTTCTCGTCTTTTCCTCTCTCTCCTCGTGTCCTTTTCATCTTTCATCTCTGAGGGAAAGGAATTGTGTCTAGTTGTCGGAGGGGATGAGTCTGATTCAAACCGAAGGGATGAGCTTTAGAAGCAATAAAGAAGCAGATGTGTGCATATATATGAGGACATAAATAGCATATACGGAGTGAAAAGTGGAGGACGGCAAGGTCAAAGGAAGAAAACATTGTATCCAACAGCAGAAAATATTTAGGTCGATGACGAACGAAGCTGTAAATGTGTGTTTTAATTATGCTGATGAGGCATGGGCTGTTTGTGTGAGTGTCATGCTAGTGCGCGCCGCTTTCGGCTCTCTGGAAGGATGCTGATGCTGATCCTTCCATTGCCATGGTAACCGCAGCCATCTGTAGGGATCAGTCCCGCCGCTCTCGACCAATCGAACGGCACTGATCCCATTCATCCTCCCTCAGCTTCTTCAGCCCAATAATCCCCTCTCTCACCGCTCACGGTCGTTACTGTGCGATCACATGGTTTTGACGACTTACACGCAGGGAAATCTCTAGGACAGACGAACAGAGTTGGGTGAATAACGTGACCGATGGCTGGTGACATGCTGTTCTGTTTCGGTTGTTTAAGGGGTCTGGCATCGTGATCTGGCGCTGTGCTGAAGAGCGATCTTCTATGGAAACGACTGCATGCAGCAAATGCACATTATCGTTTAATAAAGTTTCATAGGCAGAATTGGGTCACAAGGCACCGTGACCCAGAAAACTGCATGCAGAGCTTTGTGTGCTGAAGAAGATTAACAGGAAGTGATAGCATTTCGGTGTACAAAGGCCTGTTTACGGCAAATCCAATGTGACTAAGCGACACAAAATTATAAAATGGCCACACCAATATGATTTGTGCTGCTTCTATTGTTAAATATTCAACGATATTGATTAATATCAGTGTTATTTTAGTATTATTTGCATAGTTTTTTCATTTTGAATTAGCTTTAATTTGTATTATTTGTATTTTTTTTTCCACTTTTATTAGATTTTATTTATTTTTTTTCAAATTTCCAAATAGTTTTAATTTATATATCAGTTAGTTGCCTAGGAAACATTTTTTAAAAATGCATCTAATAAGTATATTTCATTTCAGCTTTATTTCAGTTAACAAAATGTTTTGTAATAGTTTTAGTTAATGATAACAATAAATTGTTAATCGATGGTGGATCTTTAATTTTGCTAATTTCTCTAATTTTTACAAGTTAATCATTAAAAGACCTAAAATTTAACACTGCAATCTATAAATTAAATTTTATGCTAATCTCAAAATTAATATCAATTTTTCATACTGTACATTATAATGTTGTGATGTTTAAATTCACTATTAATAATTAGGTGTTTTTGTTGTTTTATTTCGTTTATTTTGTTAATTCATTTAGACAAAACATTATAGAATTTTAATTTATTGGTTATCTACTATAACATGAAAATATTTGTAAAGAAATGTTATCTCTTTGGCTTCCATAATAAATGTATTTAATATTTTTTATTTAATAAATTTATTAAATAAGTTTTATCCTGGATTAACCAATAATGGTAATGTAAAGTAGTTTACAGAGATGCATTGTTTTGTTAAAAATCATGTTTGTGTGTCATAAATTCTGATCTGCAATGAATATGACTTAAAGCCCCCATGACATTAGAATCTATATGCCCCCAACTTCCTGTTTCAAAAGGAAATGCATCAACAAAGGACAGAAAACTGCACTCATTAAGCCATTTCGTGGGGTCTTCAACTCAACATTTGTGTGTGTGTCACCTTTAAACTTCCGTTGTTTATTTATGCTGTACTTTCGAGAGAACATCGCCTGAAGGAGCCTCCAGGCCCTCAGCTTCAGTTCAGCCGCAGTTGACTGGACATTCCTCCTCAGAGGCGACTCTGTCTGCTCTGATTTTAGGAGTGAGAATCATTAGTCCAGGAGTATCTGATCTTCTTTCATCTCCTGCAGAGCCTTTAGGAGTTGTGATGAATTCGTGGTGCTATACAAATCCCAACACAATTCTCGGCTTGTTGTTGTTTGGCGATTACTCTTAGCATTAAGGTTCCTTGATGACCCTGAGCGTAAAGCGATCCGGCATCAATCTCCTAAAGTCTTAAAGTCGCTCATTACAGCTCACTCACTCCGGATGGAGCAGAAAAACCACATCCGTCGTGCACCATATATATATATATATATATATATGACCTTTTTATCCACTATTAACCCTCTCCATAAGGCCGTTGTGATCTAATGCTTGATCTGATGTCATCATAAAAACATGCATTTGATGAAGGTTTATACATCCTCATGTCCTCATAATGCCTCTTTGTCTCAACGCAATTTTGCGTTATTAGTGGAAAGAGTTGACCGAGGTCTCCTTAGATGCAGAGAGAAGACTTTGAGAATGCTATCAGGGCTGGAGAATGAAGATGTTAGTGTAAATTCAGATCGTAATTCTTACCAGAAGGCACAAAAGAGCCTTTCAGAGCAGGAACTCTTACTATTCAGTCTGCTGTCTGATGAGATCCATTGCTATTCAGGAATGTAGTGTGAATATACATGGACATGCACTTCTGCAGTTAATGGATGCTGTTTAGAGAATACGAACAGTTCTGGCTCTGGAATTTCCTGTAAGATGTCAAATCTGTCAGGAAAAAATGACTCTACAAACCACAGGAGTAAAATATATGGAAGCTTAATGCATTCACAGCACCATTTGTCTTGTATCTATGTTGATTTGTTTTGTACTGTACAGTATTGTTTGAACACAGAGGCAAAGAAACATGCATGTGGGTAGTATATATCCCTCATTCAAAGTGTCCCAAAGTGTCTTCTTCCATCGTTCCTCTTCTGCTTTTAACAGTGGCCTTCTTTGTCATTGTTAAATTGGGCATGAGAGGACAGCAAGAGGGTGTCTCTGGAAAGGATGAAGTGCTTGAGATACTCTCCAGCTGCTGGAGATAGATAGGCAGCTGTTATCTTCAGGTTCTGGGAGATGTTGGACGGCTAGGTTTTGGACTTGGAATCTTTAAATCTGTATGGTATTTTTTAATGGCAGATGTTCATATCTTAAATGAATTGAATAAAATAAATTTAATATATATTTTTAATAAAAACAGTCAATATAAACATTTTATTTTATATTATTTTAAATCAAAATAGTCAGTTGAAAAACTGGAAATTTCCAATTTGGTGGTAAAGGGTTAACAGTAATAAGGCATAATGAGAAATTTTCCAAAGTGGTATAATAATTTCCATTTCCAAAACATTATTTTGTTCCATCAGACTCCAGATACTGTGCCTTCCTCTGTCAATTCATGTCAGTTCAGTTTTTTTTTTTCTTTTTTTTTTTTTTTGAGATTAGCTTATTCCTCCCTAAATCACGCTCAGGCTTCACATCTATGTCCATTGATGCTATTGGCATGTGTCTATACCAGAGGATACTCTGTGTTCCGCAATAAAAGTATTTCTGATAAAATGCAATAAAAACAAAATGCTTTTGAAAACAGATACATTGAAGCAACATGATATTTAAGAGCCACCTATATTAAATACTGCCTGATATGGAACGATGCATAATATATGAAACAAAACAAGAGTGATGGGAGAACTTTGCATCCCAGCAGAATGGTTTTGTTGGAAATAAAACCTTCAGACAGCTGCTGATAATGCGGATCAGCCTGGTACAAACCATTCAAAATTGCTAAACTTACTCTTTGGCTTTCTCAACCATTTCAGTGACTGACAGTTTTGTCACCCAGGCAGTTCACTATATATATATATATATATATATATATGACCTTTTTATCCACTATTAACCCTCTCCATAAGGCCGTTAATGCTTGATGCTTGATCTGATGTCATCATAAAAACATGCATTTGATGAAGGTTTATACATCCTCATGTCTGCCTCTTTGTATATATATATATATATATGACCTTTTTATCCACTATTAACCCTCTCCATAAGGCCGTTGTGATCTAATGCTTGATCTGATGTCATCATAAAAACATGCATTTGATGAAGGTTTATACATCCTCATGTCCTCATAATGCCTCTTTGTCTCAACGCAATTTTGCGTTATTAGTGGAAAGAGTTGACCGAGGTCTCCTTAGATGCAGAGAGAAGACTTTGAGAATGCTATCAGGGCTGGAGAATGAAGATGTTAGTGTAAATTCAGATCGTAATTCTTACCAGAAGGCACAAAAGAGCCTTTCAGAGCAGGAACTCTTACTATTCAGTCTGCTGTCTGATGAGATCCATTGCTATTCAGGAATGTAGTGTGAATATACATGGACATGCACTTCTGCAGTTAATGGATGCTGTTTAGAGAATACGAACAGTTCTGGCTCTGGAATTTCCTGTAAGATGTCAAATCTGTCAGGAAAAAATGACTCTACAAACCACAGGAGTAAAATATATGGAAGCTTAATGCATTCACAGCACCATTTGTCTTGTATCTATGTTGATTTGTTTTGTACTGTACAGTATTGTTTGAACACAGAGGCAAAGAAACATGCATGTGGGTAGTATATATCCCTCATTCAAAGTGTCCCAAAGTGTCTTCTTCCATCGTTCCTCTTCTGCTTTTAACAGTGGCCTTCTTTGTCATTGTTAAATTGGGCATGAGAGGACAGCAAGAGGGTGTCTCTGGAAAGGATGAAGTGCTTGAGATACTCTCCAGCTGCTGGAGATAGATAGGCAGCTGTTATCTTCAGGTTCTGGGAGATGTTGGACGGCTAGGTTTTGGACTTGGAATCTTTAAATCTGTATGGTATTTTTTAATGGCAGATGTTCATATCTTAAATGAATTGAATAAAATAAATTTAATATATATTTTTAATAAAAACAGTCAATATAAACATTTTATTTTATATTATTTTAAATCAAAATAGTCAGTTGAAAAACTGGAAATTTCCAATTTGGTGGTAAAGGGTTAACAGTAATAAGGCATAATGAGAAATTTTCCAAAGTGGTATAATAATTTCCATTTCCAAAACATTATTTTGTTCCATCAGACTCCAGATACTGTGCCTTCCTCTGTCAATTCATGTCAGTTCAGTTTTTTTTTTTCTTTTTTTTTTTTTTTATTCGAAATAACATGCAATGGTAAGTTGTGCACAAACAGACCAAATGCATGTATTAAAAAAACAAACAAACAAAAAATGGTCAGTTTTGATTTCATTTTGATGTCATGTTGACTTAAGCAACATTCATGTCTTTAAGCCTGTGGAAATGCTGGTTTGTTTGTGTTTGTGGAAGACAGGGAGGGAATCTGTTTTTAAGTATAAAATGAGGTCAGGACAGATTTTTTAAATATGTAATGGAAAAACTGCAGTGGGATTCATGGCTGTTATAGTGAATCTCTTAAAGGGGTCATATGATGCTGCTAAAAAGAACATTATTTTGTGTATTTGGTGTAATGAAATGTGTTTATGCAGTTTAAGGTTCAAAAAACACATTATTTTCCACATTCTGTACATTATTGTTTCTCCTCTATGCTCCATTCTGAAAAGCGTCGATTTTTACAAAGCTCATCGGTCTGAAAAAGCGAGGTGTGCTGTGATTGGCTAGCTATCCAGTGCGTTGTGATTGGCCGAATACCTCAAGCATGTGACGGAAATGTTACGCCCCTTACCATATTGTGATGATGCCCTGTCAGGCCGGAGCAATGATTCAAAAACATGAAAACCCATTATAAACGAGGCATTCGTTGCATCCAGTGGTAATTACAGAAAGTATTTATGCTCCCTTATCCAATTGCAGTTAATCGATTCGCATATTATGTAAATCAACTGACAGCTTTTACATAAAAATAAAATAAATAAAGCTCTAAATTGCTCTGCTCTGTATGAAACCGGCATGTGAGAGTGACCCCAATCCCTCCCCCACCTCTGCGCTGCATGTGTGTATGTAAATCTGTGTCCACATGTGCGAATCTGCTTCATCATTATTCAACCCGAGCAGCCGCGGTCATGTGACTCGGTGTGCCGCTTATGCTGAGAGTGACCGAACGACGGAAGGACATAAAGTGGAATACAAAGAGATTTATATATTAAGTTGCTCAAGCAATTGGCAAAACATCTAAACTACTTTTCTTACGTTATCACGAACGTACCATTGACAGAAATAGTCAGCTCTACTGCCTTTCCTTTTGCATTTAAATCTTTATTACAATCAATCCTGCAGTTCATAAAGAACTTTGTTTTCCTACCTCCACGAATGCCATCTATTATTGCCTTGTTTATCTAAAAGTGCTCTTTCCCCTTAAACCTAGCCAAAAAAACATATGTGTTGACTGTGAAACACAGTAGACTTTAATAATATGCATTTATGGTGTAATTACTACATTTTCACGTCAATCCATGTTCATATTTACTGCAAACAATGCGCTGTTACTTTAATTCTTCGCTTGCAGCGCAGCAATAGACTCGGTAACGATCTCTGCACTGCTGCAGACGCACCACTCCTAGACCGCACTGACGGACAGCAACCGTGTGCGGTGAACGCTTTAATCCATTAACATGAGCGCGGAAAATATACGCACCACGTATGCACTGCAAATGGAGTAATGTGAACCTGGCATTATATGTGTGCGCTGCGTGTGCATGAGCGCACGGTCTCCAGGAGAGTGCGCAAGCACTGAATGGTTAAACACTGGCAAGAATTACAAAGTAATGCAATTTATAAACTTTAGTGACGATGTGACACTGCCTCGATTGTGCAAGTAACAATTCCTGTGTCAACTGTGCAGCGTGCAGCTCGCTTATAGACAGACGCGATGTGTGGTGATTTAAAACCTTCTAGAGTTATTCAGCCAAGAATAACAACTAAGTTAGCAAAAAAAAAAAAAACCCCAGACCTGCTTTTCTGACTGATATGACACAAACAATGTTGACGATTTGTACATTCTCTAACACGCATATTTTAGATTCACAATTCATTTAAAAGCCTCTGGTGTGTAAAAATAGTAA